ATAAATAAAGTATAAATAAATAAATATAATATATTATTAAAGACAAACATATATAAAACAATTAAACAAAAGAAACAAATATAACATAAATAAATATATAAAATCAAAATAAACAAACAAAACAAACACACAGAAACATCCTGAAGGGAGGCGAACAAAATAATAAAAAATAAATAATAAAAAATTAATAAAACAAACAGCAAGCAAAGAACTACATAAAAGAAGTTAAAAATATAAATAAAAACAAACAACAACACAACAAATAAACAAATAGACGAAAAAGAAAAAGAAAGGTCAAGTAAATAAATAGACTTAAAAGTTAAATAAATAAATAAATAAAAATAAACAAAGCAACAACAAACAAAGACTTTTATAACTAATAATACCGCAATACAAACCAAACAAAACGAAGAAATAAATAATAAATAAAAAACAAAATAAATTAAAAATAAAATTAATTAAAAAAATAATATTTACGCGGTGTCTTCTCATATGTCGGTGCATTGGGATTCTGGGTGCGTTGCCTTTAGAAGGAGTTTGCTGCTGCTGCTGCTGCTGCTGCTGCATCTGCTGCTGCTGTGCTTGCTGCATTTGCTGCTGCATCTGCTGCATTTGCTGCTGCTTTAAAGCCATGCTGCTGCTACCTCCTTCTACTTTCATGTTGGGGGCCCCCCATCCACCGTACCCTGTCCCGGGGGCCCCCTGCTGCATAGGACCCCTCATTTCTGGGGGCCCCCCAGTACCTCCTCCTGCTGCAGCACCTGTACCCATAGGGCTCCCAGGGGGGCCCCCCATAGGGCCTCCAGGGGGGCCCCCCATGGGGCCCCCAGGGGGGCCCCCCATGGGTCCTCTAGGGGGTCCCCCCATGGGGCCCCCCATTTGCATCTGCATCCCAGGGGGCCCCCCCATGGGGCCCCCCATGGGGCCCCCCATTGGGGGCCCCCCCATAGGGGGCCCCCCCATTGGGTTCATTCCTCGGGGCCCCATGGGGCCCCCAGGGGGCCCCTGCTGCTGTCTCTGCTGCTGGGGACCCCCTCCCATTTGGGGGCCTCCAGGGGGCCCCTGGAAAGGACCCCTTTGAGGGGGCCCCCCCCCCATTTGGGGGCCCCCAGTGAACCCCTGATAGTTAGGTCGGTTAGGCTGTTGAAGCCCTTGCTGCTGCTGCTGCTGCTGCGGATTTGCTGCTGCAGGACCACCCATGCTGCTCATAGGGCGTATGGAGGGGGGCCCCCCAGGCCTCTGGGGGCTGTTGAGGGGGCCCCCCATACCCTGAACCCCTTGCTGCTGCGGGCGCTGCTGCTGCTGCTGCGGCGGCGGCTGCTGCTGCTGCTGCGCTGGTCGAAGGGGGGCCCCCCCTGGGGGCCCCCTTTGAGTTGGAGGCCCCCTATATTGGGGGGGAGGCCCCTGCTGCTGCGAGGGCTGCTGCATGATGGTTAGTTATTTGGGGTGTATCTGCAGCAAAGAGAAGAGACACAGGAAGCAGCAGAACGGAGACAGCACATGCATGAGTAAGCCCATAAAAAAGCAAAGTTGAGGCAGCAGCAGCTGCTGCTGCTGCAGATGCTGCTGCTGCAGATGCTGCTGCTGCTGCTGATGCTGGTGCTCGGCTGCGGCTGCCTCGGTAGCTTGACTGGTGCTGCTGCAGCTGTCTGCTGCTGCTGTCTGCTGCAGCAGCAACCAGCCCCCTATACACCTGAATGCTGCCTTGATAAAGGCAATAAAAACTCACGATTAGAATAAAGAGAAGCAAGAAGCCCTTCTCCGCTGCAGCAGAAGGCAGCAGCAGCAGCAGCAGCAGCAGCAGCAGTCGGCAGCACGTGGAAGCAAAAAGAGCCGCAAGAAAGAGAGGGTTTATGCTTTTTCTTTGCTTTCTTCTTGTTTATAAAGGACAGATTTAGTTTTATATTTAATAGACAAAGGTTAAAAAGACAGATAAACGAACAAAAACATCAAAGATACACCCCATAATCCATTGGCTCGCTGCGGTGCTGCAGCAGCAGCAGCAGCAGCAGCAGCAGCAACAGCGTGAGGCCTCTCGCTGCAGCAGCAGCAGCAGCAGCAGCACCAACGTAGAGATTCTGAGTGTAAATAGTCTTTTTATTAAACTAAAAAAATAAATTATTTTTTTTAATTAATATCAAACTACATTTATAAACGAAGAGTACTGCATTTGCATACAGACAGCCACAGCCGAAGCTGCAGCAGCAGCAGCAGCAGCAGCAGCAGCAGCAACAGCTGTTGCTGTTGCAGCAGCAGCAGCAACAGCCGGTGGACCGCTCGCTAGTGCTGCACGTGCAGCTGCATATACACCTCAAGTTAGTCTTCTTCTTTCATATATAGAGATAATCATAGAAGATAAACACTTTAGATTTGCTGCTGCTGCTGTTGCTGCTGGTGTTGCTGCTACTGTTGCTGCTGCTGTTGCTCCTGCTACTGCTGTTGCTGCTGCTGTTGCTGCTGCTGCCGAGCAACAGCAGCAGCCTGCACATACATCGAGGTGGGGCAAGGAGTAGTTAACTACTTTTGTTCTCACTTCGTTTTTTCTGTCTTTGTTTTTATTGTTAGTCTTTACTTTTTTATTGTTATATCTTAAGGCTGCTGCTGCTGCTACCCCTAGGGCATATACGATCCAGCAGCAGCAGCAGCAGCAGCAGCAGCAGCAGCAACGGTAGCACAAGCAACAGTGCAGCAACAGCAGCAGGCTGCAATAGAGCAGCAACAGGAGCAGCAACAGCAACAGCAGCAGCAGCAGCAGCAGCAGCAGCAAACCGAAGAGGAGTGCAGGTTTTATGTTTAATATAACAAATAAAATAAATAAAAATGTTCGCAGTTATAATTTTTATTATATTTATATTTGCATTTCTTACTTTAAATATTTTTATTTCCGTCTTCATTATTATTACGGCCAGCATATAAAATATAACACTCATCAAACCCTAAACCCTAAACCCTAAACCCTAAACTCTAAACTCTTTCGGAACAAACATTTGACGATCACAGAAGGGTGATTAAGATTAGGGTTTAAGGTCTAAGGTTTTTGCTTTAGGGTTTAGGGTTTAGGGTTCTAGGGTTTAGGGTTTATCATTTTAGGGCTTAGGATTTTGAAGGGCTTAGGGTTTAGGGTTTAGCTGCAGCAGCAGCAGGAGGATCAGCAACAGCAGCACAAGCAGCAGCAACAACAGGAGAAGCAGCACCAACGGAAGCAGCAGCAACAAGAGCAACAACAAGAGCAGCAACAGCAGCAGCAGCAGCAACAGCAGAAGCAACAGCAGCAGCACCAGCAGCAGCAGCAGGGGCAGCAGCAGCAGCAGCAGCAGCAGCAGCGGCAGCAGCAGCAGCAGCAGCAAGACAAATGAAAGGAAGAAAATGAACATATAATATAAACAAACAAAAAATAAAAAACAAACAAACAAATAAATAAGCAAATAAAATAAGCAAGCAAGGACAGAGATAAACAAATAAATATAAATAAATAAATAAATATATAATATATATAAACAAACAAAAACAAACAGCTAAATAAATAATTAAAACAGAGAGAAACAAACAATTAAATAAATAAAGCAAAGAAGTCAAACACAAATAAAAAGAAAAAACAAAAGCAGCCCCATGAATGAGTGAAACGGTTTAGGGTTTAGGGTTTAGGGTTTAGGGTTTAGGGTTTAGGGTTCAAGGTTCATGGTTGAGGGCCTAGGGTTTAGGGTTTAGGGTTTATGATTTATAGTTTAGGGTTTAGGGTTTAGGATTATAGTTTAGTGTTTAGGGCTGTTTACGGTTAGGGTTTAGGGTTTAGGGTTTAGGGTTTAGGGTTTAGGGTTTAGGGTTTAGGGTTTAGGGTTTTAGGGTTTAGGGTTTAGGGTTTAGGGTTTAGGGTTTAGGGTTTTTAGGGTTTAGGGTTTAGGGTTTAGGGTTTAGGGTTTAGGGTTTAGGGTTTAGGGTTTAGGTTTTAGGGTTTAGGGTTTAGGGTTTAGGGTTTAGGGTTTAGGGTTGAGGGTTTAGGGTTTAGGGTTTAGGGTTTAGGGTTTAGGGTTTAGGGTTTAGGGTTTCGTTTGCCGTTTGGGGTTTGAGGGAGAAGGGCTCCTTAGCCACCGTCTCTGAAGATGCAAGAGAAGGTCTAGGGTTTAGAGTTTACTACTGCAAACCGCTTTAACTATCAGACATCAAAATAAATATAATTTTTTCTGCTCTTTTACTTTATAATGCACAAAATAGAAACGAATAAATAAATAAAAAAAACAAACAAATAAAATAAACAAACAAAATAAATAAACAAACAAAATAAATAAACAGAGACAAAGCAGACAAAATAAACAAATAAAAAAATAAAACAAAAAAAATGAAGCAAAGAAAAGCAGAAAAACAAAACCCCAAAGAAAAGAAATCATATATATAAATATAAATATATATATATATATACATTTACATATATATATATTTAAATATATATATATATATATATATTTATATACATATATATATTTATATATATATATATAAACAAACGAAATAAACGAGAGAGAGAGAGAGAAGAAAAAAGAGAGAGAAGAGACAGTTAAAGAGGCGGCTGTCTGTACACCGAGTTATTTGTACAAATAAAGTTGTATATACTTTTATAACCCTAAACCCTAAACCCTAAACCCTAAACCCTAAACCCTTTCTACTCGCAGTGAAAGACAGATAAATCTGCATGCAGTTTGATGGTGCGAATCGTTTAGAGACAGCAGAGCTGAAGGGCCTACAGTAAGGCACAATGGCTGTTGCTGCTGCTGCTGCTGCTGCTGCTGCTACTGCTGCTGCTGTTGCTGATGCTGCTGCTGCTGTTTTGTTGTTGCAGCTGCTGCTGCTGTTGTTGCTGCCGCTGCTTTGAGTGCTGGTGCTGTGGTTGGTGCATGAAGCTACAGCTGCTACTACGAGCGTTTCTGCTGCTATTGTTGTTGCTGCTGCTGTTGCTGCTGCAGCAGCAGCGGCTGCTGCTGCTGCTAGTCTATAAGGCGTGAGTGCGGGTGTACAGCAATTGCATACATAAGCAGATTCTATGAAAGTAAATAATTAAATTACAGAAAATAAATAATTAATTTATAATAAATAAATAATTAGTTAATTAAAATAAATATTTATTTTAATTATTAACATTAATTCTAGACAGCAGGCAGCAGCAGCAAAGTGCTGCTGCAGCAGGCTGAGTTTATTTTATTTTTCTTTGTAGGACAATTAGGGGCATTAATAAACAAATTGAAAAGTACATTTAATAAAACATTTATTTATTTATTTAGATATATTTAATAACGCTGCTGCTGCTGCTGCTGCAGCTGCTGCAGCCCCCAAGTGTTAGC